AACCAAGGAACCAAAGCACTTAAGCAACTGCAGGTTGGTGACACTGTCAGAATGTGGCAACAGGGTGTATGGAATCCAGCTCAGGTGACAGGTTTATCTGAACATCCAAGATCTTATGTTGTTCAGATGCCTGATGGACAGACATATAGAAGGAACAGAAAGTTTCTAAGACAGTCAAGGGACAATCAAAACGTGACACAGCAGAATGAGTGTGATAAAACACAGGGACAAAGTGAGATGGACATGCAAAGTACAAATGTCACTCCCACAGAGTTTCCAAGTTCCCCACCCGAAACTGCGAGTGGACGTATTGTTTCCAGCCCAGAAGGCTTATTGAGGAATAAAATGAACATTATGTTTTGAGCACATGCTTTGATTAAAAAAAAATGGGAAGAAAAAATATGTTCACTAGAGAGAAATGTGAGTATGCCAAGAAGCATTTATTTTTTTCTCCCTTTCTTTTTTTCCACTGGTCGTGGGCCTTGAGTGGTGTTGTGAGTTACTTTGTTGTTTGCCCCTGTTGTTGAAAAAAAAAAAAAGGGGGGGATGTCATGATATGAGTGAACAGTTGTTGTTTAAGGTGCAGTTCATGTGGAAGCCACCGGAGGGTGGTGTGGAGATAATAAAAAAGTGATGGCTAAAACCCAGGACGGTGTCATGTCTGCTCCCTGAAGTAATATCGTAACAGTAAACAAACTCAAAACTGAAGTAAAGACTGAGGATCGCCAGAGCCAGGCTCAAAGCCCTGCAAGTGTTTCTGGTATTTTGTCCACTTCCTGTTTATCTCTGTGAGTTGCTTTTAGGGATCAATAAGCAGCGCAGTGGAACGTTAATGCTGATTGTTTTTGTTATTGATCCATTATTACTGTTTAGTTGTTATTGATCACTCAGTCTGAGTCCCCTGTTATTATAAAGTGCTTCTCTGCCTCCAGCAGGCGGAGCCAAAGCATCGAAAATAAGCCTGAGCTCCTCCCACCAGCGGCCAGGGGTGGAGGGTTCATACCGATCATTCCTGTCCAGTTCAACACACACACACACAGTGAGTCAGCTGGGTGGAGTCCTGTGTGTGTGTGTGAGAGAGACACACAGAGACCAGTCTGTTGACTCATACACACATGCTGGAGTTTGCGTGTTTGTGAGGACCTGGTTTGCTTCCTGTTTTCACAGATGCAGAGTTACGATGGCCCCAGCTGACCGAAGAGACAGAGTGTAACACAACTCTAACTGTATGTATGTATATGACCAGCTGGATCAATCAGCCTGGAGTTCATTGATCGAACCACCAGCACGTTTACATGAAAGAGGCGGAGCCTGAATCACATGACTGCCGAAGTGCTGCATGTGCTGAATAACGTTTGTTCAAAGCAGAAACACAGTTGGCTTGTTAATGAACAACAAACCACACATGCACAGGTCAGTGTGGTTAACCAACCAGCATCAAGAACCACCTAAACAAGAGGCCCACAAGGTTCTGCGGTGCTAAACAGTTTCCTGGAGTTCAGGAGAAGGTACTGGAGGAGCAGGAAGTGCAGGTTTCTGTGTGTGGTTCTAAGAACCACACACCTGATTTACTGGAAAGTTCCAACCGCCGACTCACACTGCATACCAAACCGGTTGAGCCTGTCCCAGTGCAAACTGGGAGCTCTGACAATGAAAATAAGGATGTTTGCATATAAGCGTCTCTGTGACGGCGTCAAAGCAAACAAAAAGTGCTAATCTGAGCTGGCGGGTCAGGACAGAGTCAGCAGCTGATTTTGGGTTTGATGCGGAGTTTTTATTCCAGCACTGATACTAAAGTTCATTCAGCCACAGCTGCATATAACCGCTCGATAACTGCACCAATTATTGCACCAATAACTACCTGATAACTGCCTCCATGACTGTCGGAAAGCTTCTCTGACCACTGCTTAATAACCGCCAGATAAGTAGCAGTATGTTAAACCTGGACAGATAACCTGTGAGAGGTCACATGACTTACCCAGAGCGCCCTGACAGATGTCGGTCCTGGTGGCTCCGCCCACAATGAACTGAGGGTTTCGTGTCAGTTCCTGGAACAGCCAATCAGATGCAGGTATGAGTGTGTGTGTGTGTGTGTGTGTGTGTGTGTGTGTGTGGGGAGGCTCACCGTCGGCCTCTTCCACTCCACTCCTCTGGTTTTGGCCGTGAACGGGGCGAGCTCCTTGAAGCCGAGCGAGCCGGGTTCTGCGGGGAACATCGGGTCCTCAAACAGGGTCCTGGTCTGCAGGCAGTCCTGCCTCAGGGCATCGAAATCCTGGTTCAGGTAGCGCACGGCCTGCTGGACCGAGCCCAGACCCGCAGCTCGGGCCCGGTCCATCTGGATCCGCTCGGACACGCCTGTAAACATCCTGAGCCAGAACACATCAGAACTTTGAGCAGCCAATCAAAGCAGAGGAAAGCAGGTTTGTACCGGAGTCTGTCTGGCAGGCTCACGGCTGATAGGAAGTAAAACTGATGCTGAATTTTTCTACTGACCCTGTAAACAAACCCCAGGTGACCTTCATCATGTAAACACTTCTGTTTCCCTCTCCTACAGTTTGAAGATGGCCCCGCCCCTCCCTGAGCCTGGTTCTGCTGGAGGTTTCTTCCTGTTAAAAGGGAGTTTTTCCTTCCCACTGTCGCCAAAGTGCTGCTCATATGACTGTTGGGTTTTTTCTCTGTATTATTGTCTTTACCTTACAGTACAAAGTACTTAGAGGCGACTGATCACGTATAAATAAAACATATGAAACTGACTCGACTGAACTGAAGCTTCACAGCAGGAGCCCTCAGGCAGGACCATCAGCACACCTGCTCTTGTTTCAGACAAAAATCAACCAATCAATCAGTACGCTGTGATAGAACACCACAAAAATCATGTAAGGACGACACAGCTCACACAGGTGAGGACACACCTGTGTGAGCTCTGTGAGTTCAAAGAGCTGCGGAGTCATCACAGCTGATCGATCAGAGGACCGGATGGTTTGTCCCAACTCAGCTGAGGAACACGTTTTCCCGTCATGCCTTTGGGCTGAGGGCTTTCTGCATCAACCCCGTTAATTGTGATCGCGTCATAATATTTCTGCCGTTCGTGACAGGAGCCGTGACGTCATTAACGGTAAACAGCTGATTTTGTTCTTGTTTCTGTCTGAATCTACACGCAGCTTTGGGGCTTCTGATTGGTCCAGCGACGCAATGATGTAATCAGTTTTCTTGAATCAGCGCAAAAATCAGCTGATCAAACCGGAAACGGAAAAAACATTGGGACCGACAGGGATCGGCTCAGCCCGGTTCGGTCCCAGCTCCAGGCTCACCTGCACCCGTGTGGAGCTCCTCCGTGTCTTGCTCTGGGATGTGGTCTGCACCGGGTCCTGGATGCTGCTGAAGATGCTGAGCTGCAGCACCGCGCCCCGCCCGGCGGGAGGGGCGGGGCTACATCGCCGTGTGCGTGTGCGCGCGCGCGTGTCACGTGATCAGTCATTCTAACAGGAAGTGGCTGTGTTTGCACTAGGCTGATGCTTCTCTGAATTATTGATCTGCAGTGATGATGTCACATACATGTGACCCTGCAGGAAGAACACAAGGATCTGAGAAGATCACCAATCACTAATCGATCACTGCTTTTAGCAGCCAATCAGGCTGCAGTATGTGCTGCTTCATGGAGGCCGTGCTGTGGAGCACTTGCTGGGCGCCTCGGGACGTCAGTCTGTTAAGCTTTGCTGTTTTTGTGACACCTGTGCACCAAAGCTTGTATCTGTTTTCATGTTTCAGACCGTCACTGTGACATCATCAGGAAGCTCAAATATTGGTCCAGACACTCCACCTGCTGCCTCTCGTAATGACGTAGACTTTGACCTATGATGAGCTCAGACACTTTCTGACTCGGATGTTTTTGTTGTGGAGCGGGTCACCTGCTCGATCTGTGAGTGTGAGGAGGAGCCGAGTCACCTGCGGCCAGATGTTGACCTCTCACAGCTGCTGATCTAATTATGAAATGAAACTGAGCTCCGGCCTGCGTCAGCCTCAGGAAACACCACACAAAGTGAAATGTTCACGGCAGGCGTCTGTTCAAGAGCAGCTTCACCATTTTCACTGTGAAGCACCGACACACGGGGGCGTGGCCAGTTACAGGTTGATCATTAGTAAAACACGCACACAGTTTCCAGGTTTGGAGAATTTATTGACTTTACATGTCAGTAAGTTAGTGTAGAAACTAAACCATGCATATAAAACAGGAGCGGTGACAGGAAGGGAGGCGGCCAGTAAACGGCGAAGAAGGCGTGCTGCAGTAACCACTGAGGCTGCGGCTCAGATCATGGCGAAGTTTAACCACTGCAAGAAGAAGAAGACATGGTCGTCGTCAGCCTCTGCGCTCACACTGACACATACACGTCACCGCGTCATACATCTCACCTGCTGGAAGTCGAGCTCAATGAAACCGCTGCCCTTAGTGTCGAGCTTCGTAAAGACCTCTGTGGAGGAAGACCGTCACACGTTAAAGTTTAAAGGTCACAGCACAGAGGGAAAGTTAAAACTCAGAGAGACGCAGCGAGACGTCACGGGCCGGCAAGCTAACCGCTAGTCACTGAGACCTGTGATAGCCTCCAACGCCCTGCAGAACTCCTCCTACCTGAGGGAGGTCACAAAGCTCCAAACATCTCGCGGAGCTTAGACACGCCCTCCAATCCGTGGTCCTCCAATAAGAACTCCTTATCTCACTGACTCCCCCACTGACTGACCTCCCACAGACTGACTCCCCCACTGACTGACCTCCCACAGACTGACTCCCCCACTGACTGACTGGCCTCTCTGAGCTCGTTAGCAGCGAAGCGCCAACTCACTGAACATCATCTCCAGCCTCATCAGACATCCCACGAAGTTGTCGAAGTCGATGGTCATGTCGGGGTCGGCGTATCGGGCCACCAGCAGCTGGTAGATGTTGTTATTGAGAGTGAAACCTGCAGGAAGATGGTAGCTGTTAGCGGCTATCAGACCTAACCGTCTTGATCATCATTACTGGTAAATAATGGTCACTGAAGTTCGTCAGTGTAAGCTTTCTATTTACTCTTGCAGACGCCATCGTGTAGCTGCAGCTCGATTGGTCGTGATGTCAGTTAAAGGTGCTCTGACAGACGACCAAATCGCTGCCACCTACGGTGTAATGCAGCGAGCTCAAACACACAAACTAGTGCCGAGCTGGCTCTGCCGCTGTCTTCGATGATGAATTGTGAGAACTCGGCGTTTAGAGTTTAGTTTAAATGGTTCTCAGATCATATGAAAGCAACACAAATCAATATTTCTATTTAAACCGATCAAACATCACGAAACACCAGACTCTGGATGATAAGGAGCAGTCAGACACTGATCTGGGTTCAGTAAGCGAGCACATCAGAGTCAGCTGAACTCGCTCCAGATCCTGAAACTTTAACCCTGAGGTGACCTTCATGCTGCCAGCAGAGATGAAACGTACCGTCTCCATCAGCTCGCTGCCCGTAAATCCACAGCAGCAGGAGGAGGAGGAAACACACAAGTTAGACAGAGACAGAAAGACTGCAGGAGGAGCAGGAGAAGAAGAGGAGATGTTAGTGAGCAGGAGACAAAGTCTGCAGGCTTTGTTTTCATTTGTTTAGCAGCAACGGGAAAGATGAGGCGTCTTCCTCACCCCAGCCACAGAGGAGGAAGAGGAGTGTTCTGTTTAAAGTGTGAGTCAGCGGGGAATCACCGTGACTCACACTTTAAACCACAAACTGCAGCAGCTCCACCTCTGAGGGTGAAGACAAGTAAAGCATCGCAACGCCAGAGCCGAGCGCGTCGCCACAACACAACTCACAGTCCGCACACAAACAGCCCACAGCATCTGTGACATCACGGAGGACATCCCCACGGAGGCGTGTCCCGAGCTCGGCTGAAACGCGTCACCGTGTCATCCTGTTAAATGAAGTCAGGTGGTTTTATTATGTGGCCCTTCCTGTTCCTTAGCATAAAGTCGCCAGTGGAAAGAAACTGGTGGGGAGCCAAAGACGCCTGAGGCCCCGCCCCAAACAGAATCGCAAACACGTTTAATGAGCAACAGACAGGAAGTGGTCGACAGCTGCTGGTGAGCCAATCACAGCACGAAACAAGATGAGACGCCAGCAAAGACCCGGGTCAGGTCGACGACTCTAAGCTCGTCGCATTAAACGAACGCTTCGTTTGTTCCTGCAGAAGAAGAACAGACTGACCTGCGTCTTTGAAGGCCACTCTCATCTCAGGTGTGCACATCGTCCCCGAGTTATCAGAGTCGTTCTTCTTGTAGATGGACTGCACACACACACACACACACACACACACACACACACACACACACACACACACACGCACAGGTAAGTACATATAAAATTCGTCTTGTCAGTACAACATTCGGGATTAGAGGTCAAAGGTCACGTCTCACCAGGTATCTCTGCACCTTCTTCCACAGCGTGGCAAACTCCCCGAGGCCGAGCTTCCCGTTGCTGCTGTCCTGCTGCAGGTTAAGGATCACTGACAAAAACATCCAAGTACTCTCATGTGACGTCGTTGCTGATACAGCTGCACTGGCTGGTTCTGACCTTTAAAGCTCTTCAAGGACAAGCACCAGCCTACATCATTGAACCTTTACAGCCCCGTCCCTAGTAGGTCCCTGAGGCCTTTGATCAGGGCCTACTTGTTATTCAGCACACAAGGCTGAGAACCAAGACAGAGCTTTGGTTCCTGGTCATGTCGGGATGGTAGCTGTTAAAGGTTGGAGAGCGTGCTTTTTCTTTTCGTGCCCCGTTTCTGTGGAACAACCTCCCTCAAGATGTTAGGCAGGCTGCTCTGTGGAGGCTTTTAAAACTAAGCTGACGACACATTTGTTCACCTTATCTTACAAGTCTTAATTCTATGGCTTTGAGTTTTTACATTTTTACTGTTTTTAACTTGTAGTGTGTCTTTTACCTGTATTGCTATGTATTGCTTTTATTATTATTTTTTATCTTTTTAGTTTTAAATAGTTGTACAGCACTTTGTTTGAAAGCGCTTTATAAATAAAGTTATTATTATTATTAGTGGTCACTGTGGAATCTCTTCCTCAGAAGATCTGCAGACTCAGTGATCACTTTAAAAAACAACTAAAAACATCTTTTTGTGTCTGTTTTTGTTTTATACCTTGTGAAGAACTTTGATCTTTTTCTCTAGAAACGTGCTATATTAATAACATTTTACTTACTGACAGGTGAGTGACATCATTAACCCTGCTTTAAGGCCTGCACTCTGGCATCATTTCCTGTTTCTCTAACACCTGCACTTCCTGCTGCCAGGTGACCCTAGCTGTCTGTAAAGGATACGTCCATCAGGTTCACCATCGCCCTGCACGTCTCCATGCCGAAGCCGTCAGTTTTGATGTCAGTTCCTGTTGAAAGAGAAAACAGGAAGTGAAACCTGCGGCGCTCTGTGTTCAGGTAAAAGGCGTCGAATCTTCAGCTCACGTTTGGAGACGATTTTGTTCATGATGGTCCTCAGCTCCACTGCAGAGATCTCCATGTCCTGAAACACAAACACGAGCAGCCAATCAGGCGTCTGTGGGCAGCGCACCTGCACGCCGCCACGCAGCAGGTGTTAGGCTGTTTACGCGCGTGACGAGGATGAACTTACACTTCCGGCGAGTTTAGTGAAGAGGCCCCTGAACCCGGCGTCCACCTCGCTGTCTGACACCGTCTCCTGGACACAAACACCATAGCAACCGTCAGCACATCATCACTAACCTGCAGACATGGCGCAGCACTGAGGCTCGGGGTCTCTAATGATGCCGACCTCAAGGGCGTTACTTCCTGTTTAAAAACCGTGAGTGTGGAGTCTGAGTGTTACTCACATCATCAAGTTTGGCACTGACGGGGTCGTCGCAGGGCCTGCGAGAGAGAAAACTGAGTCACACATCAGAGCACCAACCAAACACGCAAGACCCCGAAGCCCCCACGGCCGGAGCTCAGTGCCCGACCACACCCCCCGACCACACCCCCACAGCGGCAGATTTCTTACACGGTCTCCGTCTGCTTCTCGGAGAACACCCGGATGCAGAAGTCTCCGTTCAGGTGCGGCTCGAAGGTGGACGGGACGATCAGGTACTCGCCCGGCGGCAGCTTGAAGCGAGAGCTGACCTCACGCAGGTTGATGAAGGTTTCTGACCTCGCCGTCTGAGCGTGGCTCAGGAAGAAGTTCTTATCCAGGTGTACGTCCCTCTGGCCGTGGAACTGCAGATACAGAGAGGACAGCCAATCGGGACATCAGGAGGTGTGGCCAAAGAGAGCGAAAATGTGTATCCATGTTTGAGAGCATTCTGCCTGACATCCTGACATCGCCGATGTTACCACAGGAAATATCCTGATTGTATAAAAGAACTTGAATAGAGCTTTGACCTTTGACCTGCAGGTTCAGCACTCACCTGTTGTGGAAGCTGAAATAAAACGAAGAGAAGAAGAGTTCAGAGTTTGGTCACGTGTTTGGTCTTTGAAGCCTTCACATCAGATTTTCTCGGACGTTCTCACCTCGTAGATGGCGAAGCCGATGGTGTGCATGTCCTCGCCCTGTTTGCGTAGCTTCCTGCGGTTCTTCTGGATAAGACCCACCACGAAGCTGCAGCCCACCTCGCCGTCGTCGGGGTCATCGTCCTCCTCGGCCAGCTTAATCACGAACTGCGGATTCGTCCAGAACGTGTCTGCAGACAGAAACATGCAGCCTGAAACCTCCTGCAGCTGCAAAGCATCACAGCGAGGAAAGCCCCGCCCCCGCCAGGTCATCCTCCACTAGCGGTTCTAGAAAACTTAAGCCCCCACAAATAATAAGATAAGATAAGATAAGATAACCTTTATTAGTCCCACACGTGGGAAATTTGTTTTGTCACAGCAGGAAGTGGACAGTGCAAAAGTTATGAGGCAAAAATTAGAATACAATAAGAATAAATACAGTACACAGCTGTACAGGATAGAATAAATAAAATACTATATACAGTAGAATAAAATAAAATAAATATACAACAAGATAAAAATAGAATACAAATACAAATGCTATATACAACTGAGTAAAAAAAATGCTCATTTCTGATTGGTTACACGGTCTCAGTGTTGCAGCAGGTTACTCACACGGGTTATTCCTGCAGCCTCCGGCAGTGGAGCCTCTCCTCCAGCCGCCGTCAAACTTGCTGACGCTCCAGTGTTTGACGGAGTCGTTCTCGATGGTGTCCGGGGTCAGAGTGCATACCTCGATACGAGAGTAGTGACGCTGGAAGTCGCTGAAGGACATCCTGGGGAGAAAGAACAGAGAAGAGCGCTTCCTGTCAGCACACCTGAGCTTCCGGCGTCAGCAGGTGTGCAGTGCGCACAGAGACTCCGCCTACCAGAACTCTCCATCTTCTGCGTTGCTGTGAGGACACTCCCCCTGCACATAGTTCCACTCAGACGACCTGCAAAGAGCAGAACCGATCAAAGCCTCAGAGTTCTGAACCTTCTTCCTGTTAAAAGGGAGTTTTTCCTTCCTGCTGTCGCCAAGGTGCTTTCTCATATGGGGTCATGTGACTGTTGGGTGTTTCTCTGCATGTATTATTGTAGGATCTACCTTACAATATAAAGCACCTTGAGGCGATCGTTGTTGTGATGTGGTGCTGGAGTGACTCAGCATGTTTGATTGTCGTTCCACATCCTGCTTTCTTAGAACAGGTAACTGGACCGACCAATCAGGCTTCAGCACTGAAGGTACCCTGCAGGACAGGTATGTGCTTTGTTTTAACCGGTTAGGTTGCCCTACAGGTGGGGCGGGTGCGGTGACCTCCACACGCTGCTACTCTGGTTAAATGGCTTTTTCCCCAGCATCTGTTTTTGTTCATCGGTGCACTCGAGTGAAAAGACCACTCACTAAACACTGCACAGCCAATCAGAGGCCACCTGCTAGTACCCAGGGTGACGGCAGCTGGAGTTCAGATAACTTCAGCAGGTTTACTGTCAGCTGATCTGTCGTCCTAGCCTGACTTCAGACATTTTAGCAGATACAAACTGAGCTCGAGCAGCTGGAGGCGCTCTCAGGCTGAGTTGGTTACCCGTCACTCCACGGTCCCGTCCACTCCACCTGGCCCCACGGGTTCCTCATCCTCACCAGCTTCTCCTGACGCCCTCGGTAGTTCACCTGGGAATGAAAACAGTTACGTGTCACTTCCTCCTCCTTCATCTCCGTCTCATCCTCACTGCTTCTCTTTTGACGTTACCTCCACGGCGCCCGTCAGCGAGTAGGCGTGGCCTTTCACCAGCTTCTGATGAGTCACAGCTTCAGAGTCTGCGGCGCTCGTGATCTGCAGAGAGACAAGCACAGCCCATCACCACTGACCCCGAGTCCAAGGCCAACAACCCAACTCCGACCCCGGCTTTCGCCTCCTCCATCGAATAATCCCGAAACACACCTCGGAGAATCTGAGAGAACCTCACTAACTGAAGGAAAAAGATGGTTTCTCTCCACACTCACATCGATGGAGCAACCCAGCAGCGATCCAGCTTCCAGCGCCTTCTTGATGATCTGGAACAAGTTGGAGGGGGGCTTTTTGAGGTCGTAGTCCTCTGCGATGCCGCCGGTGAAGTCCTCGAAGCCCTCAGTGGTGGACCCGCCAGACAGCGCCTCGTAGCAGCCGTTCACTCTGCACACAAAGAGCACAGAATGGCATGAAGGTAGAGCCCTTTCAGAGCACCAGAAGACCAAGAGCATCCACGGCGGGGGTCAGAAGCTCCCATGCACTAACCCTGGGCGTGAATGTGAGGTTTACCCTGTAAAGCCCGTTATATCATATTGGATACATGAGTTTCTGAGACCTCCATCTCATCAACGTGATCAATACTCGACATAATTTCAACATGTTACAGACTAAACTATGTTTTTGTCCAAAATTGTTGCCAAAACTGCCGAATGTATCAAATGCGATACAAAACTATATAATAAATAAATATAAAAACATATTATACACAACATATAGCCAAAACACTTTGTGGATTTTGTTATAAGGGTTGATAAACATCTCAGTTCCAGACAATCTGAATTTTCTGACTGTCAGAAACCACAGGCTCCTGATTCCCAGAAGCCTTTGCCCTGGTCCTGCTCCTCTCCCTTCGGTTGAGGCGGGTCTTACTTGGCGTAGGCTTTCTCCAACAAGGCGCTCCAAAACTCCCTCCCCTCGGCCGAGTGCACGAACATCAGCTCGCCGTCTTTGACCGGCAGCCGGTCGTCGATCACCACGTCCACCCACTCACCGAACTGCCAGAACTGCGGAGGGACAGCAGAGGACAGAAAGTCAGGCTTTTACTTTGAAAGTCTCTGTGAATTTGCAACCTATCACTGCATTGTGGGCGGGTCTAATGGTCAGGGCCCACCCACTTCAATAACGGCTGTGAGAATAATTTTAGGTTTCAGTTTTTAAGCAAACAAAAGGCTGAACGTGTTTTCATTTCTGTAAAAGTAAAAATAACATTTATGAACTTATCGCAGGTGAATTCTGACCAATCACAGCAGCCCATTTCTCACGGACCAGTAACAGTGAGACCCGAGCGGCGTGATGCTTCAGAGTATGGCTGAAGGTCAGGTGCTCCAAACCAACCTCAGACTCAAACGCTAGAACGGGCGTTTCCCCGCAGCACGCCGTGTAGAGAGACAGAAAGGCATGAAAAACAGATGGTTTCATGCATCGGTCAGAACACTGCGCTGAAAACACCTCACACAGGTCGAGTTACAGGAAAAGCAGACAGATAAGGTTATTGCGCCGTCCTCCTTCAGAGGTCGCTCTGTATCTGCAAGGTCATTGGTCGCTTGTGTTTCTGCTGGATTCTCTCTCTCGGGGTTTAACGACCCACACTCAGTGAGTCCTCGCACACAGCAGGAATAACACACTCACGCAGTATTGTTTCTGCAGGGCGTGCCCCCGTCATAAACAGAAGCTTCAGCAACAAAAGCATAACTCTCAGTAATTACAAGGCCCCGCCCAGCTCGCTGCTGTGCCCGGCATGAAGCACTAACACATAAACTCCCACGTGAGTGGAAAGCTTGGTGGAGCGTGAGGCGTGACAAACATGGCTGCTGGCGTTGTTGTGAGAGCCGCAGCTTTCTGCCGATTGCCGCCGGCCGCTGACGCAGCTCCACAGGGTCCAGCTTTACGTCAGCGAGGCCTGACAACATCAACCTGTACAGGTGTTTCACAGAATCACACATTAGTTACCTGGAAGTGGAAGATGCCGGCGTAGCTGTCCCCAAAGTCCTGGTCCGTGGGAACAACTCTGGCCATCACATATTCATTCAGGGTCAGAGAGGCGATGGCCGCCAGCAGCCAGCAGTCACCTGGACAGACAGGAAACACTCAGTCAGCGCCCACTCCTCAGCACTGCCCCTTGCAGGCCTTACTTCCTGTCACCCCGATTTACAACTAAAACACTCATAAATATGTTTTACACCTGATTGGCCCAAGGCCTTATGACATCCTCCGCACTAAAGCCATGATCGCCTCTTTCACTGTGTTTTAATCAAACGTGTTGCATCTGTGGTGCTCGCCACAGGAAATGACAGCTGGAGGGCCAAGCAGTCATTGGGTCATTTCAGGAAATGGTTATATTTGGACAAGTACTATCTCACACACACACCTGCTAATCAGTAACAAACAATCATAAGCCTTCGTCATACAGTAACCTCACAGCAGCCAGGTTAGTGGTCACATGGCATCATTAAAGACGCTGCAGAAACAGGGTCCAGAGATCCAGCTCAGGTCAAGCTAGCAGCTACTGTGTCACCATCCACCTGTCGGTCAAAGAGGCCGCGCCCCCTAATCCATTATAAAATCATTGTGGCGGGGGCGTGGTCTGCTGGCCTGCTGCAGAGGAGGGGTGACACAGTGAGTTGTACAGGACTGTTTTATCCGGTTGTTCAGTCTGACGTCACTAGCCGTGTCTGGGTCTAAACTCCGCTGCAGGTCCATATATCAAACGATCACTATGGCATTACTGAGAGTTGAAAAACTGTCTAAAGTCTTTCATCTTTAATAAAATGATCAGCGTTCTGCTCTACCAGGTGTAACAATTGAGTTTAACATGAAAAACGGAATTTATGACATTTAACGGAGTTAGAAGTTAGCAGGAAGTTAGCTCGCTAGCTTCTATCTAAATACAATATAGCATGTCCTGACTGCGGGGTTTTGGAAACAAATTAAAACGTACAGCTCTGTTATCACTTCCAGCATAAATGAAGACAGAAAACTAAACAGCAGTGACGTTTGTACGGGCACTGAAGTTGGGCTAGCTGGTATATAATGATGTGCTACGTGACCGCTAGCGACACAGCTATGTTAGCATAATATAAACAAGCTAACTTTTTCCCCACTTGATAAAAGTTAACGTGAGTGTTCTCGGTGGTCAGGAACAAATGTAATCGCATGGCAGGATGCTGTAAAAGGACCAAACGGCAGCCAGGAGAACAACTGAGATAATCCATCCACAATACGAGGTTAGTCATTCATATACTGCTGCATGGGCTGGGCTGTAGTTACATCCTAAGGTTTTAAAAACTGAGCTTAAATAAATGATTAGCGGTAATAAAAGCCGAGGGAGGTCAACAGTGATCACTGACTGTTTTAGGAGCTTTTTGAGATCAAATAGAAGAAAATACAAAACATTAAACATGTTAACAACACAAAAGCCATATTAAACGCAGACTACTTTAGGCCCGGAAGTAGGATTCGTCACGTCATCACTTAACAACCGGATTGAGGGAGATGTGTCTTATCTGTGTCCGCAGTGAGAAGGAGCAGGTGATGCTGGGAGAGAGTCGGAGTGGCTGCGTCTGAGGCGGGCGCCAAAAACCGCAGATTATTTCTCGATAAAAGACAGTCTAAGCATTAACCAGTCGTGTGTGCGGGTCCTGTGTTACAGTCATGCTCCCCCAGTTGCTGACATTCTGCACACACCATTACACACTCACTACAAATACAGGACTCGACACACAGTCACTTTAACAACTTTAAATCCTCATTGCACAGTTTTTACACAACTGTAAATACGAAACAGCCGTCTTACATTCTCTAATATTGAATACTTTAGTATTTTGTTATTTTTATTATTATTATTATTTTTATTTTCTTCTTTAATGTAACTGCACACTTCTATATGTTCATGTAAAGCTGAGGAGCACGAGCCAACAAATTTCATTACGGGTAAATGTTGCTATGCTGTTTATCTGCATATGACAATAAAATCTGAAACTTGAAACTTGCTATGAAGGATGAAACTACCTACAGAAATCGATCATTTTGAGTATCAGGCTGTAAACATGTTTGTTTTAACATGGGAGTCTATGGGCACTGACTCACTGCTGCCTCCGCTGGACGTCAGAGGAACTGCAGGTCTGGAGTGGCTGGTTAGTGCTGCCCCCTACAGGCTGCACAGACGCTAATGAGATTAGCGTGCAGTTTAACCCTGAAAATATGCCCAGCTCTGATTGGTGCACACCATTACAGGTCACACTTTTCTAACAGAGCCCGGAGAAAAAAAAAAAAAACACGCTGCCACAGGTATTCATCATCATCATCATCACATGTTCAGACAGACGCTCTGCTTCCTGTCATGCAAAAGCAAGAAAAACCTCAGCTCACACTTTAATTATTCGCTCGACCGCCGTGACGCCTAGGGAGGAACTCAGACAGCGCCGCAGGAAGTGAGTGCAGCGAAAGAAGCCTGTGACCACAAACATCCAGAGACAGAGCTCCGCCTCTAATCGCAGCTCAGCGTTACACAAGAGTGCTCTGGGGTTTCACCGAGGCACGAACATGACACAGGCACTGGGTTTGTGTCCCTGTGAGGACCGCCGGGCTGCAGGCACGCTCACACCTGGATCAGGTCCACATCTGGATCAGGGTCCACATCTGGATCAGGGTCCACATGGAACCAGACTCAATTTCAGGCTGTGAGTCATGTGACAGCAGGATGTCCTCAAAGAGTTGCAAACACAGGCGTGTGTGAGTGTGTGTGTGAGGGTGTGTCCTCATTGGCTGACAGCTCATGCCCCTCGCTCTCTCTCTGATATTTGATGTCTCTCTCTCTCTCTAACAATGGCTGGTAGCCTTTTCCTGTCTGCTGCTTCCTGTTCAGCCAATCAGGGACCAGCGTGGCAGAGCCGCTCAGCTGCTTTTCATTAAAATAAAAGTTCTTCAGCAATTTGATGGAGAGGGGGCATGTGACCCCCCCCCC